ATATAAGACCAACTATAAAAGCGAGTAAATAAAAGAAAAACATGAATTCATTGGATAGCTATCAAAATATTTCAATAAGTGCTTCTTTATTGGAATTCTATACGCATGTTAATACTATTTGATTTATAGTAATGTGCCTTTCATATTCTTATTCATGCGAATTAAAAATCTATGAATAATTATGTTTGATTAAATATTATATTAACATTAGGTGTGAACATTGTATATAGTTTCGAACAAATACTGATCATAGATCAATGTTTTCATATACGAGACAATGTAAGTCTTACAATAAACCTGCTGGTGTATTATTAAAAAGTGATATAGAATTTATTTGTAATATTCCATTACGAATAATTGACAAGTTTCTGACAATGGAATTCAAATAATTTTACATTGTTGCCTTATAACATATATATAATCTTCCAAATAATTTTTTCGGACGACTTTGTTTTGTGTATAACTATCTTATAATGTTTGCTTTTGAGATACAGCTTGCGTCAAAATTACAGATAGCATCTATGCTATATCCACAGAAAATTTCACTCCTCAATGTTGAGTTATGGTGAAAATAAACATAACAATCAGCAGTAGTCATTTTCTGTTGAACAAGTTTTTTCGGATGACCTGATCAATTAATTTCTTTTCTTTTTCACAATTATTCAAAAGAACTGAACTCATATAAATAGAAAGAAAAAAAATACAAGCTATATTTTGATAACTAAAATCATCTCAAAGTAAAATGTCTATATAATGAAATGCTTATTTGATGAAAGATAAAAGACAATGTTCCAGTTAACTCTTTTTCATTTTTATATAATATGTGGTTTCTCTTTGTGAATATCATATTTGCAAGAACGTCAAATGCTACATTAGATATGAGATGATTTAAATTTTCACAAAAAATGTTTTTCAGTTTTGAAATGTTATTTTCTGAAAAACTTGCAGCGCTTGACGTTAGCGCAAATATGAAATTTAGAAAGAAAAACCTCATTATATTAAGATGAAAACGAGTTCACTTGAACATTGTCAATTATTTCTCGTACAATAAGCATTTCACTATGTAAACATTTTGCTTTGACAAAGTTTTAGTTATCAAAATATAGCTTGTATTCTTCTCTTTCTATTTATATGGGTTCAGCTCTTTTGAACAATTGTGAGAAAAAAAAGAACTTAATTGATAAGATCATCCGCAAAAACTTGTCTAACAAAAAATGACTACTACTCATTATTGTATGTTTACTTCCACCATAACTCTAGATTTAGAGGTGAAGTTTTCTATGTGTAAAAAAATCACTCGAACAAATTATTATTTTGGATTGTATGTGAGGGCTATGGGTTGTGTTAAATCGGCTTGTGTACAGTACAAATAAGTGTTGTATGACTAATTGTACCAGAGTTCACTTTCAAAACATCTCGTATGACAATTTGACACAGAAGAAATCAAATATCTCATGAGAGCCATTTTCAACAGTTCTTGACCCCACCACCCTTCTTTCAATAATGAATGCCACCACAGAAAAAAAAATGGTGCTTGTTTAATTCATCAGCAATTAGTTTAAAAAGTAAACAAGTAGAGAACGAATAACTTTTGAATAATGTCATACGAAATAAGCAATAGACTTTTTTATGCACTACAAAGTTCAGTTATCATATTATCTTTATTTTCTTAGTAAAGAACACAACAAGATACTTTTTTAAAATCATCAATACCTTGTGTACTTTGCTTTTGCTTGAGTTACTCAATATAAAAAACACTAGTTGTAAAACACCTGTTAAAGGTAAAATATGGAAGAATAATCGATTCATGTGTTGCTCACATCCGGCGACCCCCTTTTCATATGTTTGCTGTTGCGAGGAACGAAAAAGAAAGCAAAAAATTTGTATTGGTCATGTGTTCAAACAGAACACTTGAAGTATAGTTGTTTTATTTTACTCACACAAATTTTTTTTTCTTCCCTTTTTCGCTTGAGACAATAGTTTAATTATACATTATTTTAGGTCAGCACCTTCTATTCAAATGCATACAATGCGTTACTTCTTTGAAACGATTCATGCACGATTATTTTTTATTTGTAACTTAATTGATATAAAAAAAAAAGACAACTAATTAAATAAATGGATTTTTCTTGCTTTTAGAAATGCATCGACGACGATATGGATGGTTTCGTCGAAAATCGGAAGGTAGATGATTTATTAACTAAAAAGTTCTATAAACCTTGCATGAATTCTATTTTAGGACTTGTTTTTGTTCGTTCGCCTAAAAGGTAACATAATTTCTTGTTTTTAAATTTTATATTTAAATAATTATTTGAATTTCTTATAGTTACAGCTGAAAGAAACCAGCGTTTGTTGAAACAACCGCACTATCGCGTTCTTTATAATCTCGATGACAGTATTTTTAAAACCTTCTTCTCGGTAAGTTTATTTTTTTTATGAATTTTATTTTATTTCATTTCAAATATTTTTTTCAGTGATATCCTTACCAACATTAAAACCTTGGTTTGCATTATCTAAAAATTTCTTTTTTTTTGGTAAGTGATATATTTTGTTTTTTGTTTTTCTCGAACTTGACAAATCGTTTTCTTCTTTCGTTTTCAAAGCAATCCATCAATCAACCAATTCTTGCCTACCTTTAAACAGAATGAAGTATTCAATTTTTTTTCATGATTATTTATTAATAATTTAAATGTATTGTGCTCTTTTGATAATTTAATAAAATGAAGTCAAATGATAAACAAGTTCATTATTTATTTAAGTATTATTAATCGATATTTTCTTTTGAGTCGATTAATTTCGATACTCGCATACAATAATTATTATTATATTAATGTTAACATGCAGATTCAACTATTGTCATTGGCTGTATAAGAAATACTCAATCTCGCAGCATGTAATATCTTTCATATGCTTTGGTGCTGTAGATTTTTCAAGAAATATATTAATTCAATGAAATATTCGCTATTAAGAAAACAATAAAGAAAAATTAACATAAAAAAAAAATATATAGCCAAGTGAACTGTCGATAAAATTTTTGCTTAATATAAGTGAAACATTGTATGCTGTATGGATTGACATTGTCCTCGATGCAATGTGCAATATAACAATAAATAGCTGCTTTTATTGTATGATAAAATATTTTAAAAATTAAATTATGACTTTCTTTAGGAATGTTGATTCATAAAGATGAAGTTTCGAACAAATGTAATTCAATTCCATTCGGTTCCATACCAATATCTTCATAACGTGTCAAACACGAGCAATAATATTTTACTCCAATATAGGATTTATGTCCTCTATATCTTGCACTCGTGCAAACTGCATCAATCTCGTTGTGTGAGAAGTCTATTGTAGCTCATCTATTAGCTATTTATATTTCTATTAGAAAATGCCAGTTTCTACGGGTTTATGATCAGACTGATAATTTTAGAGAGAATCGATGCATATGCAATGGTTTTCATGATTAGTTTGCTCTCCATTTTTAAAATGTTGTTCTAACGGGTTGCACTGCAACTTCAAATAAAATCAACAATAACTTTTATAGTAAATTGAAGCGCGTCAAAAGCGAAATTCATCAATACTAAATAGTAACGCTTATGTCAATATTTCAACGTTAAATTCAAAAAGTTTCTTAAATTTTACTCTACATCAACAAAGAAAGCTTTCTTTCAAGAATTTTTTCAAACTAAAAGTTATTTAAAATGAAGAATATCTAAAAGCAATATTTATTTTTTAAGATTTGAGAAGTATAATTAACAATTAGTATGACAATCATTACAGTTTGTATAACATGAAGGTGAGATGGATACTAACATAAAATAATATCAACTAGGTCAATATTTATTCCCGTGTTTTTATTCAGTTTCTTCATCAAAAAAGATTATGTTCAGTTTCTGATACCTGTTTTCCTCAGCTTCAGTTTCAATTACTTTTTCAATACTTCATAATATTCTTCATTTTATATGCTATTTTAGTTCGAACAACGTCATGGAACGAATTTTTCTCGGCTGATATGATGCAGAATTTTAGAAACTTTCTGAATTCGACATTAGAAAATTACCATAACCATTACTATTTAGCATTGATAAGTCCAATTTTCGACATGCTTTAATTCAGTATAAAATTTCTTGTTGATATTATTTGAATTCATACCGTTACCTCTCTGGAAAAACACTTTTACGCACCATGTAGTAGTATTATTTCAAGGCGACTGAATTAATCCACCCAAGAATATAAATTATCTATTACTTTAATTGATCGATAGAAAACAAAAAAAAACATTTCTTGTTATAATATTCAAGTTTTAATTTGTATTGTACGTCCACTTTCAAGCTTGCAACTTTCTATAAATCAATAGACTTAGCATATAAACACACAAAAACGTAATTGTAATTTTTTTACAGAATATAGATACATTTTACTTATGACAATAAAAAAAATTATCTTTTTTTTCAGTATGTATTAAATTGAGATTTTCTTATTCGTTACTGTCTCTACTATGAATCTGTTCTTTTGTGGAGTGTGGTTATCTAGTTATGTCACGAGGATACCTACATCCACTACGCTCGGATATGAAGTCTTCTTACTTAGTTATAGTTGTAATGTAAGCGTTCTATATCGTAAACAAAAATGAAGTATAATTGTGATTATTTCAATCGATTACATTTTCTTACTATATATTGCGTTATATCAGAAGATATTTATAGTGTATTTCTATTGTTTTTTGTTCAAAAATATCAACAAAATATTGAAAACAAGTTACTATTCTCCACTAACGATTTGACATGAGTATTTTCAAAAGAGATCTTTGTGTGGTATAAACGATAAAAATCGAATGAAAAACTTCCTTAAGAAGAATATTGGTATTTTATACTTATTAACTAATAAAAAAAATATTAAATAATACATTATAATTATAAATAAAACAAAATATGTTTCGTCAATTCTTAATCGATATTTCTTCATGTACATTTTAATTTAATAATTTCAAACGACTTCAATTAAAGTCGCGTTCTCTCAATTTCAACAATAGCTGTTACAGATGGCAACGGTGATGATTCCAATTGATCTTTGAATGAAAGATCAGCAATTGCAGCTTCATATGATGGTGGCGATTCTTCGTATAGACTAGAAATTTGTACAAATGATGGTGGTGGTTCTTCATATATACTAAGAGTTGGTGGAGATAATGATGCAGTATTGACAGTGTAAATTGAGCCAGACTGAACAACCCGTGATGGTTCTTGTCGATATCGGTATATTATTCTCTGCCTATCCCGAGTCCTTGTAGAAGCACGTGTACGTTGTTGTCGTTGTTTTCGCTTTAAAGTAATGCAACAGCTCAAACATAAACCAAAAAAAAAGACTGACATCATGATTAGAAGAATGATAAGAGCTGTTGGCATAGTAGATGAATATGTTGAAGAAGGTTTTCCTGTTGTTCGAGCAGAAGAGCATTGCATGAAATAAGTTCCACAAGGTTCATTTCCTATTAGAAAATAAGCATAGAAGTAAATGTTTTGTATTTTCTAAAAATTTTTACTTACTTGAACAGCACCAAGTAAAACGATAGTTAACGCACAGTTTTTCTATATTCAAAATGTATAATGACGGACATCAATTGAGAACAGTAGTGATTTTTTATTTTCTTCTTGATAGTAATACTTAGGAAGAATCCGAGAAATGATTTGAGTAGCTAATACAATTCTCGGTCAAGATTTATGAGCCTAAAAACCCTAATAAAACAGCTTGGATGAGAATGTATGAAAAACCAAGATCCTCTAAAACTAGTATTCTGGCAGCCATTTAAATCTTTTTTGGAAACAGTTTCATTTGATAAAGAGAAACGAGATATGTCTGCTCTCTTCCTCACGTTTCCTTCACTCAATTGCATTCAACTTACAGAAGACCTCAGAATCATTCTTCATTTGCTTTCATGCATTCTCATCCAAGCAGTTTTATTGAAGTTTTGTTTAGTTCGCAAATCCTGATTGAAGACCACTACTCAAATATTTTTTTTTCATATTCTTCCTAATTATTACCACCGAGATGGAAAATGAACAATACAACTGCTCTCAACTTTTGTCTGTCGCTATATATATAAGATTTATTTGAATTACTATCTCTAAGATACATACCATGATTGTTACACTGGGTACTATATACACTTGTACATAAAAAGAAAAATAGAATGAGAATAGAAACAACGCAGTTAGGCCATGGACTAAACATGATATGTTTTGAAGATGATATTACTTTTTGAAATGGCTTGACATAACTAAATTTTATCATTCTGTTGCTTAAATGAGAGTGAAAGATGATGACTTGTCATGGACTGATAAGAACACATCACAAATTGACTCACTTGTTGCTTGGTAAAATTTTGACTATGGATATAATATTTACTCGCAGAGAAAAGAACTGATTCAGAACTTTTGAAGGTGTCTCATACATCGGTAGGTAGTTAATGTGTAGTTTTTATATTCGGCAATTTGAAAAGTTCTCTTATTATTTTTACGAATTTAAAAAGAAAAGAATGGGAAATGAGAAAAAATTAAATAAATTATGTCAGACTTGCTTATAATTTAAAAATCATGACTCAAATGCACAGTAGAATGCAAACGAAAAATTGCTGTTTGACATATTAATTTCGTCGAAGTTTATTTCTTAATTTTCTTGAACGAACACCTTAGAACTATTTCCAAAGGTATAGTAGATAGCTCTGTGCATACAACAAGACTAACGCATCTCTGAAAGTATTGTTGAGTTTCATAAAAAGGAATGCTATCGGAAACCATCCATGTGAAGAAAGTCTCTGCTCATAACATCTAACATACAATTTTACATGAAAATTTAATGGCAAGAACTTTAGGTTACTTAAGTACTTGTGATTAATGATCGAACAAATTGTCTACAGAGAAAAAGTCTGAAATCTCGATGAATTGAAGAAATTCCTGAGCAAAATATGGGATTGAATTAGTATCTAAAGTCTAAGCTTTTTGACCACTTACAATAAAACTAGGTTTGTCGTTCTTATTGATTTACAGAGATAGCCAGTCTTTTATTATTAGTTGTAGCTGCAGACTATGCTATATATGTAATCTATTGATTAAAAAAAGTTTCACTATTTAGCACATTCAATACGAGAAATTTTAAAAAATCTGACAGTAATTTTTTTGGTTGCATTCTATTAAATGTAGAACAAATAGTTGGCGATAGTTTTTTATCATTCTGAAGGTACCATCTATGTGAAATATTAATAAAGGCATAAAAATTCGGATAAATAATCATTTTACTTTTCAGATTCAATAGTTTGTAGACAAAATAAACAAAATCTACAGAGTAGACATTATCCCAACGATCATAAGGATATGTGCTTTTTATTGACTTATAAAGATCTTATTAAGTTAGGAACTTCTAGAACTTTCAAAAGTGCATCTTCACTGATGGAGCTCTTGGAACCCATGCAAGGATGTGGCTGAGATTTTTGGATCTTAAGACTCGTGGTCACACCCATATTTGAATATTCACAGAAAAGATTGTACCTTATATGTTTGATATCTTGATTCTCTTAATGTAAGATATCACTGCAGGTGTTTAAAATTTGTAGGTAAGCAAAGCATGATGACGTCAATATCATCTGAAATGTTAGCGTTTATCTGCTGCCTAAATTTCAAAAACTTCTTGAGTTCGTAGGGCTACTTCAATTGTTGGAGTTGTTTGAATTCCGTTAGTGAAATTACACTTTCGAAAGTTCCATAAATTGAGAACTTACGAAATCCAGGCATATCTCGACTTTCAGAATACTCATATAATAATATGATAAACTTTTTTATATAACAAAATGCTTTAATTTTTACAAGCTATCAATTAAATAAATCGTTTTTGAACAATTTTAGGTCAGTTAATTTTTGCATCTTTTTTTTTTTATTAAATAATTTAAAACGGCTTGAATTAAAGCCGTTCATTTGTTAATTCTATATTTGTTGTTACAAGTGGTAACGATGATGATGTCGCTTGATATTTGGGTGAAAATTCTGTAACTACAGCTTCATATGATGGTGGTGGTTCTTCATATACATTAGAACTTCGAAGATGTAATGATGGAGTATTGCGATCGTAGCCTGGTCGAATACGAACATTTCGTGGTGGTCCTTGTTGATATGGATATATTGTTTGGTCTATCGAAGTCCTAGGAGAAACACGTGAACGTTGTTGTTGTTGATGTAAAGAAATAAAAAAGCATAAACACATAGCGAAACAAACAATCGAGAGAATGATTATAATAGCGATAATAGCCGTTGACAAAGTGGACGAAGATTCTGAAACAGATCTTTTTGTTATTCGATTATAAGAGCATTGCATAGAATAGTTTCCACAGGGTTTATCTTCTATAAGAAAAGAAGCATAGAAATAAAAGTTTTGTATTTTCTAATGAATTTTACTAACGTTGACAACACCAAGTGTTACGATCGTCAGTGCACAATCTTTCTACATTAAGAATACATATACATGTATGATTTATCTGAATTATGATATCGAATATACACACGATAGTTGCTGCATGTTAAACCATATACATTTGTAGATATAAAGAAAATTAAAATAAGAATAGAAAGTATGACGCAATTAATCCATCGACCAAACATGATACTTTGGACACGATATTATTTTATTGTTACACAAAACTGAATTTTATCTTTTTCCTAGTTTCTGATGCTAAAACATGATAAGTCATCATAGATTGATAAGAGTATATATATCATACTTATCATTTTTTTTTCTGTAGGATTTTTATCTATTGACTCAAACAGAATAAAAGTTAATGAATCAGGAAGATTCAGACAACCTTAGCTAGTTCCGTTTTTAAATTTTATATTTGATTCTAAAGATGGGTCATATATTTACTCATACGCCTTTAGAATAAATTACAAATGAATTAATCCGATAAGAATTATTCATAATAATATACTCGTGATAGAAATATAAGTGTGATAAATACTTTAGTTTATTATCGAATTGCTCATTATAGAAATCTAAATAAACGATTGGCCTGACGAGAAAACATTCTTCAGTGTCAATATCATTTTGACCTGAAATTCTTCCCAAAGGTAGACCTCGGAAAGCTATGAAAAGCCTCTCATGATTTTGTGCTTATGAATGTTCCTTGTTGACCTTTGTATTGTTCAAGTATTTCCATGCACTTGAAAATAACGACAAATGCTATTTGATGATTATTATAAGATAGGAGACTGTAAGGTTTTTTAGAGTATTATTCAAGTGAAAAAACTCTAGGACATCAAAATTTGATTAGTCAGCAATCTATCAAAGAAGTGAGGTCATCGTGAACACTTTTAGAAATGGTATTCTGAAGTCATTTTTCTTTCAATTTAGACTTACAATAAAACTCATTGATAGCAAAAAAATTTCGCTTTCGGCCTAAGCAAGATCGGCTATTCTAGCTTATTTCGCACTTGAAAAGAAGTAGTTTTCATTTGTTTCAATAATACTACTTGAAAAACTTCTGGTTTTCTATATTCAAAAGTATAATAATCATTGTATTTCAGTATCTATCAGTTCTACACTATTCTTACAATTCTTCGAGGAAAGAATAACGAGCGATCGAATTATTTTTAAATCTGAAATTTCATCAGCATCAATAAGTAAAAAGTATTCTATATTTTAGAACAACTAAATTCTATGCAAAATGCTATACTTACAAAAACTGTCATTCAGCGATCAGTATAAGACGACATAATATGATAGATAACCAAGAACTAATTGTTCATAGTGACCTCTGTATAAATTTCTTATAGGTTTAATCATTTAATTACGAATATTGTCTTTCTATCTTCTTGCTCTTGTATTTTGTATTGAACTGTACTATTTCATAACTTTAACAAAATGGCTTCATCAACTCATACAGATACAAATACTAATCATAATAATGATCAGCTCATTAAAATTGCTACAGAACAGTGGAATGAATTGAATAAAAAATTAGAACATTTTCCAAAATTTCAAAATAAAAATCAAACAGGTGTCAATGAAGAACTCATAAAAGAAATTGAAGCAAAATTAAAAATTATTTTACCTAAAGAAATTCGAGCTGTTATTAAAGTTCATGATGGACGAAAACATATTGGCTATGGATTAGGTTATCAATTAGCAACAACTGATCTTTTACCTATTTCAGAATGGAAACCATATGAAAAAAATAATTATGAATTTGCCGAAGATCTATTTCAATGTCTTGCAAATAAAGATAATGCTTGTGTTAATAAACATTTATATGAAGATGCTCAAGAACATTTAAATGTTTATTTAAAAGATCTTGAAAAAAATCCACAACGAAAAAATGATAATAAGTTAACTAATAATGAAATATTTCAATCACTTCCTTGTGAATTATTAATTATTGGACAAGGTTTAGATGATTATGCTGAACAATATTTGTTAAGTG